GCTAAACTGTCGCTTACGTTGTCCGGAAAGTTAACGGCCATTACCTTTACGGGCACGTCATGAGCTCCGGTCCAGATGTAAATATGCGTCGAACTGCAGTATCAGTATGACCCAGAATCAGACCGAGAAAGCGGCGATGAAGAGAGTACACAGAACCTCACCACACACGGCTCTTACTAAACGTTTCTGAATGATAATTTGCTACATTTTTTAACTTTATACACGTTTGTTTAACACAATAGCATCTGACTGGCAACAATAGCTACTGACTGGCTACTAATGTCATACTCAAACAGCGGTGGCAAGTTTACGTTCTTGATCAAATCGAAAATAACGTCATAAAACACATATTCATGAAAAATACATTTACAACATTAGCACTTATACAAAATTCATGTTTGTAGGCGTTTGTCGTAGACACAAAATAGCATAACTGATAGCCTAGTGGCAATAAAGCTAGCGCTGGCATTTGAAAAAAAAACTAAAACATAAGGCTAACGTTACGTCTGGAATTATACATGCAAATACATTTAAAATGGTTAAGTCTTAGCCTACTTACAGGTTGTGGCCCAACAACTGTGGTTTTAAAGTCGGAACTGCTTCATGTTTACAGTTTCTCGTTGAATCCCGGTGTTGAACTCGTGGAGATTCTGGAAGCTGTCTTCCGTAAAATGCGCAGCACAGAGACCTAGATTACGATCGTCATTTTCAGGAACATAATCAATCGTAAATTGTATCCATTGTTGACGAAGTACAGCGTCCGTGGGAAGTTCGAAGACATATGACCTGACAGCTGCGTGAACAACACACTCGACGAGCTGGAGCTGCTGAAATATGGCCATGCCCTTTTCTGCTGAGGGAGTGGTTGATGCAAATGTGTGGGTTAGTGACGTACCATAACCCAGCTGTAGTCCCAATCCAGTCGTTTTTGTAGGCAATATACTTCCTGATTTTTAAAAGACGATATCTCTGCTTACACTGAACTTTCAGCGCTGCAACTTTGCAGATACTGTTCACCAACAGCAACATTACACACTTTTTAAAATGAAAAAAGTGAAATCGCAGTCAACCCCCCCTTACAGTGTGTTGTTGTCTTTGGATACAGGAAGAATCGGAAATGACTCATATTGCGTCTTAAGGTTGTCTGTACGTCCAAACGCTAACCGCGCACCGCCGTTTACATCGGGATATTGCAATTCCTTGTATACAGGAGAAACTCTCTCTGCTCACGCATCTAAACGGGTTATTCCTAATGTTTCAGAAGCCCGAATAATGACCTTAACCCGACCATAACCAGAAAATTGGCTGCATGTAAACGTAGTCAGTGAAGTCATGTGACCGTGGTGTAGTTCGTTTATAGCCTTTAGCTTTTTACTTCTGAAGACTGCATTTAGGCTTCAAAAGTGGTGTTCATCTGCGATCTTGATGGACAAAACGTGCAAGAGTCATAAGCTTTTGCTGATCACAGAGCTTGTTTTTACTTTAATCCAAAAGCCAATGGAAAAATCCTATTGGGTTTTTTCTCAAGGGAGTCAGTGCGATGCGAACTGCCGGTCGTCCAAAAAGTGACGCCTAAAGCCTAGTTCACACTACATGATTTTAAAATGTTGGGCTGAACTGTGCAGTTCACATTACATGACTTGCTCTCAGTGAAATCATGAGTGTTCAAGTTGTTTAGCTGTTCACACCACACAACACAACGTGATTGATCCACAACAGGAGGTAACTCACTACACGAGTTAACAACGCACTGCATAGAGATACAACCACGATCGGATGATAAGAGCATATCATTTGTGACTCAATGAGAGCTGTTTCAGTACTATAATACGGTCTAAATCCTGAAAATAATCAAACAAATAACGAGTTGACAACAACACGATTCTATCTGGTCTAGAAACCATGTTTTGTAACGAAAAACCACGCAATAAAACGAACCAGAAATGACGCGAAACTACAGAGAAGAACACAACACGCGAATATGGACGTCAGACAGAAACTAGTGCTGCACACTGTTTGCTCGACGATCTGCTCTGAGAAAAAAAAATGCAAAAAAGAAAAAGTAAGATTTACCTGGTGTCCTCAACCCATGCGTTGCTATGATTGGCTGTACTCATGACATCACTGAGATTGAGTCGCGCGACTGCTCGAGATATCTAGCAGGCTAGATATTTTTCTGAGCTCGGTGACCTGTCTGCGAGCTGTCTGCGAGCTGTCTTTGATGCGTTGTTGGCTCTTTCACACTAACGGATTGGCGAGCGTTAATCGTCCGCTAATCGCCCACGATTTGCACGCGATAACACCCTGACTTGTCGGCGACTCAACGATTTGCAAATCGGGCTTAAATCGGGCTTAAAATCACGTAGTGTGAACTAGGCTATACCCGCACCACACTACTACTAGGAATAATCTCCAGTATTTCACTCATTTAAAAAAATAAATAAATAATTGAAGGCTGTACTCTATGTATATAGTGTTGTACTGAGCAAGTTGAACACATCCAAGCACACTTGAGCAGTGCTGACATCTGATGAGCTGCAGTAATGTCACCCGTCAGAAAGCTCTAGGGTAACAGTCCTCAGCTGTTGCATCTCCTCAGCTAAGTGCTAAGAGCTTCGTGCCAACGGTGAGAAGCGTTTATTAAAACCGGGAAAAGATGTCTAATACACACATGCTTTTGCACTGAAGCTTTCATCTCCAAAGCACTTAGGTCAGAACCTCCTTCAAGTCCTCAATACATCAACGCATCTCTCCCGCTGTGAGAAATAGGACAAACTCACACCCTGTGATTTGGGTGTGTGTCTACAGACTGATTTCCTGCAGGGTAATTGACAGGTGTGGAGATGTCAGCTGAGCTCTATGAAGCTTAAGGGACGAGAAGGGTGACGAGACGAGGGGAGACGCTCTGCTGTTTGTTTTGAAACACGAGGAGAGTGCGCAGGGGCTTCCAGATAACTTCCACTGGCATATCACACATACCAATGCTAAGCAAATCCAACCATATTAGAACAAGAACTTTACAATGCTAAAATATACAGGCTTTATGTGTGCGCAAGTTTCACCTTTAGAGAGAAACTAAGCTGTAATGGCATTTCTCTTGGACTCTTGGTCAGCAATGCTAACTAGAGTCGTGTTACACTGAGTAAACATTGTTCTAAGTTAGGCAAGGATTTCTGACTGACGACTTTGAGGATCAGAGAGAGACACAGAGGCAAATGCATTGGACTAATGTCCACTTTTGTGTTACCATCCTACCAATATTCTTGCTCCAAGACTGTTGACAAACGGAGATATTTTGGAATAGTTCACCCAAAAATGACCCGGGTTCGAATCCACTGTGAGACACTAATGTGTCCCTGAGCAAGACACTTAAAGGGTTAGTTCACCCAAAAATGAAAATTAAGTCATTAATCACTCACCCCCATGCTGTACCAACCCCGTAAGACCTTCGTTCATCTTCGGAACACAAATAAAGATATTTTTGATTGAATCTGAGAGCTGGATCAGTCCTACATAGACTGCCTAAGGGACTTGCTCTTGCTCGGCCCATAAAGTCATTAAAGAAAAGGTTTAAATATTCCATGTGCCTACAGCGGCTCAATTATAAGTTTATCAAGCGACGAGACTACTTTTTGTGCGAAAAAAACATAAATAACGACTTAATTCGCTTATTCTATTACTTCCTTATGGGCGCATGCGCGAGAACTGAGACGAGGACGTTCTTCTCCTTCGACTAATTTTTGTTACCGGCTGCTACGCTTAGAAGTTTTACCGCCACCTACCGTATAAAATGATGATCCATATATAAGGCGCTCCGGATTATAAGGAACACTGTCGTTTTTTTTAGAAGATTAAAGGCTTTTAAGTGCACCTTGTAGTGCGGAAAATATGCAAATTGAAAAGCGTATGTACAGCGCGCATCTTCCTCTGCTTGTAAACAGAAAGTTTTGCGTTTCCAGCTATATCAGCACATCATCTTATACGGGGGCGGTAAAACTCCTAAGCGGTGAGCAGCCGGTAACAAGAAGTAGACGAAGGAGAAGAACATCCTCGTCTCAGTTCTCGCGCATGCGCCCATAAGGAAGTAATGGAATAGTCGAATAAAGCCGTTATTTATGTTTTTTTTTTCGCACAAAAAGTAGTCTTGTCACTTGATAAACTTATAATTGAGCCGCTGTAGGCACATGGAATATTTAAACCTTTTCTTTAATGACTTTATGGGCCGTCAAGAGCCAGTCCCTTAGGCAGTCTATATAGGACTGATCCAGCTCTCAGATTCAATCAAAAATATCTTTATTTGTGTTCTGAAGATGAACGAAGGTCTTACGGGGTTGGTACAGCATGGGGGTGAGTAATTAATGACTTAATTTTCATTTTTGGGTGAACTAACCCTTTAAACCCTAGTTGCTCTAGAGGCGTGTGACCTCTAACATGTATAGCAATTGTAAGTCTCTTTGGATAAAAGCGTTGGCTAAATGAATAAATGGAAATGTAATGGTAATAAGGAGTCGTTGTACTTCCACATTCTTTGGAAAGGAGCAGCGTGAACATTCTTCAACATTTCTGATTTTGCATTCCAAAGTAAAAAAATAATAAAAAATAATAAAATACAGCATACAGAATTAGGAAGACCTGTGATGAATTTTTCTACCTCATTATTTCAATCACGAATGTGTCATAGAAAGCTTATGTTTAGCAAGAAAATGCAAATGTTTTTTTTTTTTTTTTTCTTCCCCATGACCCTTTAGGGACTCCGTAGGAATGACAATAATGCATAAATAATACATAAAATACATTTTTCCTTTAAATACAACCCAAAAGTCAATCAAGCACTTAAAAGAGTAAGTAGTCAAATTTGTTTGATAGATTTGGTTGTTAAATTGTAGTTGTCACTTAACCTGTTAAACTGTTATTCAACTATGCCAGCAACATTGTAAAGGCCAGTTCTTCGTGTTTACGGTGGCATTAGGAAGTGAGCGTTCACATATGCACACACTTACCTCCAGACGTCTGGCCTGTGCTAAAAAGAGGAGCAGGCGGCTGCAGAGTGTTTGTGTTGGATGCTGAAGGTCGTAGGTCAATGTGTGTGGCGGTCTTTCGCTGCAACAATAAAACCAATATTCACACATTAACGAATGTCTAGCTTTTAACAGATGTGCAACCACACACACACACCAGATGCTGCATACAGATGATAATTGACTGGCTACTGCACACTAGACAGTGTTCGGACAGCGTGACAAATTTGAAAAAAAGTAAATAAACAACAAAGATCTGTTTCAAAAACTTAAAGCTTCCTATGCAGGCAGGGTTTTAAGGCATCATGGGTAACTCCAGAATCCTGAACTCAGTTTCGCTGTCTCCTAATATAGTTTTATATGTTTTAGCAGCATAGCATGTACAGTATCTTTCACAAAGGAGCCAATACACGAAATACGAGACGGCGAACAAGAGAAATGTTGATTATAAATAAGCATATTTCATTTCAAAAAGTATTATTTTACCAAATAATTGTGTGCTGTATAGTTTTATGTTTTTAGAGTATTAAGCTTTTAGCCTAAATGCCTAAAGCGTTTTAAATCACTCACTTATAAAGGAGCCATGATAGCATGTTAGCCGTGGGGTTTTGGGACAAGCCTAATAATCAATATTTCTCACCTGAGGTAGGACACTGTTGGAAGACTTGGCTGAGCTGTCCACATCTGGAGATAAAGACATCAAGTTATGTCAATGATAAAACAAACAACAAAATATAGCAAAAGAAAGTTAAAACATCCTGTAAATATGAGATATATTGACTGACTTCACTTTTAAGACATTCCCTATTAATTTGAAACGGTGTTATTTTATCATTAGTAGCTTATTTTCAGTTTTTATTTTTATTTGAGTTTAAGTTGTGTGTGTGTATATATATATATATATATTAGGGCTGTGCAAAAATTAATTGCGATTAATCGCATCCAAAATAAAAGTCTGTGTTTACATAATATATTTGTGTGTGCTGTATATAATTATTTTGTACATATAAATACCTATGCATGCATGTATATATTTAAGAATTATTTGCGCTTAAATTCTGTATATATATATAAATGCATAATCTATATTATATAAATATAAATATTTTATATATGAATAACACATTTTCTTAAATATATACATGCATGTGTGTGTATTTACATATACAACATAATTATATACAGCACACACAAATATATTATGTACACACAGACTTTTATTTTGGATCGATTAATCGCAATTAATTTTTGCACAGCCCTAATATATATATATATATATATATATATTTATTTATTTAATTATAGACCCACATACAGTACACGCGCCTAAAGGATTATTAGGAACAACAGTTCAATTTCTTATTAATGCAATTATTTAAATCAACCAATCACATGGCTCTTAAAATTACTATTAAATAGCTATAAAACCAAAGCCATTTACTATTAAATAGCTATAAAACCAAAGCCATTTGTCTAGCCAGGTCGTGTTCTATATTTGAAGTTGTCACAAAAGTTTTGGTGAAACCTATATATTTAAAAAAAAAAATTTAATTTCTCTTTCAGAAATTAACACATTTGTTCTATCACGAAACAGTCACCAAATATGGAACCTCGAGTCTCAGACCATTCCGACGAAACGCTTTTTTTCAAATTTGAAAAAGATTTGATTCTAAAATAGTGCAGTAAGTTTTGTAATATGAAACATGACAGCGCCCACTAGGGGGGAGGAGCCGGCTTAAAGGTTTAAAATAACATTTACATGTTAACAATGTCTGATTTCAAAACAATTTTCACAGGATGAATTTTGAGGGTTTACGTTTTCAAATGATACCTAATTTATAATGATTACTAAAAAGGGGACACTTACAGTTAAGGCCCGTTTACACTAAGCATGATAACTATAAAGATTCTAAAAATCGTTCTCCATATTAAAGAATAACAGAGTTCACACCACAGCTATAACGATAAAGATATGAGGAACGATATCGTTGGGATCACTTTCAGAACGATTTTTTTCCAGCTGTCCAACGTTAAAACACTGACAACCAATCAGAATCCATACTAATTTAAAGGTCTCGCACATTTAAAATGGCAGATGACATTGCAGAGAAGTTAATCGTTGAGGTACAAAAAAAAAATCCTCCACTGTTTAAAAACACCCTTTTCAAGGATACGTTAAAAAAGAAGGATATATGGAAAGCAATCGGTCGTATCCTGGGAATAAACGGTGAGAAGTATTCACAGATGCAGTTTAGCATAGTGTTATAAAATTACCTCAGGAAGGCTAGTTGACAACATTGCTGAAGTTACAGTGAAAAAGGTGTTGTATACATAAAGGTGTTGACTAGGCGATGTCTTTATCCCATCATTGACTTCGTCAGCTAAATCCACTGTTAGATTTAACACTAGACTTGCTGGATTAGCTGTTTAGATGCGCTCCCAACTCCTCTCATCTTTTAGGATATCGTCTACCCAAAAGCGCCTGTTTTTCTTTTGATATTTGTTTGTAACGTAAAGCAGCAGCAGCAGTCATCCATTTTCGCGACTTTGAAACCTCAGCGCTGGCGCGAGTGCTTAGAATAAAAAGCCCGTTATCGGTCGTTGGTGTGGACGCATGTATAGTTATCTTTATCGTTATCGTGCCTTTAACAGGTTAATTGGTTTTTATTTTAGTTTTAGTCATTTTAGTACTTCAACTTCTTTTCATTAAGTTAAAAGACAATATTTCAACATTTTGTTTTATTTCAGTTTCATTTCAATTAACAAAAATGATTTTTAATAGTCTTAGTTTGCAATAACAACAATGTTTTGAAATTACTTTTTTATTCTTTCAAAGAACGACTAGATGTAACATCTGATCTAATAGCATAGCATAACATTGTTTATATTATCAGTGATGACAGCATCATATATTTATGAGGGGCATATGCAAATTGGCTCATGTTTAATAAACAAAGTGGAGGGGTTAATCTACAGTATATAGCTTGTTTGATGTCTCAGAACCGCATCGGATGACGACCCAAGGTCATGTAGGAAATGCGTAAGAGTGTCCATACCGCTCTTGTTTTGTGTGTTGTTGGAGGTTTTGGTTTGTGCAGTGACTAGCAGTTCATATGGGTGGTCCTCCTCTTCCAGGGGCTCGACGCGTTCATCCACACTGCTGTTAGTGTGAGCTGCCTGCAGAGAGAGAGAGAGAGAGAGAGACTCAATTCATGCAGAAAACACTGGCATATAAAGCAATCGCTCACTCACAGTCCATATTGCTTTATGAGCAGCAGCACTGTGAAAAAGATGACCTTTCTAATAACATTGCCATTTATATGGCACAGTCCAGCGAGTCATCATTTAAGCTGACACTGCATGAACATATAAAACAAGCGTTGGATATTCTGGCCTGGTGTTTCACAAAACTGAGTGAAGAGTTGTAAAGCTTTGAATCTCAGTCTCCATCCAGACGCAGAGACCGAGCCGGAGTGTGTTAGTGTTGGTCATGGGCTCCGGAGTCTTTCAGACAGAAGGTTTGCTGTGTGTTTCAGAGACCCACAGCATTAATATTCATGAGGATGCTGCTTGATTTGGGTAGACGTGCGGAAACGGCAGTCAGCGAGTGGAAAGACAGATTCAACAGCCTCTCCGCCACAATATTCATTGTTCTGCTCTCCACCCTGTGCACTGCCGCCAATGATTCATATACAGATTAAATACAGATCATAACGTACAAACAAAAATGGTTATTTTTTTAAAGACATGTTATAGAATGTAAATATCATGGCAATTATTCACTATATTTTCATGGTATTATTATTAATTATTATTTTTATGTTGATTAGCCATTGAAAACCTATTATGTTTTTGTTGCAGTTTGTGGCAATTAGTTTTTTGTTGATGGCGCAGTGGGTAAGACACATGCCTTTGGTGTGAGGTCCCTGAGCAAGACACTTAACCCCTAGTTGCTCCAGAGGCGTGCGATCTATAGCAATTGTAAGTCGCTTTGGATAAAGGCGTCAGCTTAATGAATAAATGTATATTCATACATTCATTATAGAGAACAACAGTCAGGTTCCAGAAGTAAAAACTTCCACAGGGAAATTGATATAGATTTTGAAAGGTAATTTATAAACTTTATAAAGACTGCCTTCCTGTGAGCTACGAGTTTGTTAATCCATGGCCCACATTATTTCAGCTTATTTTCAAAATAATCATGTTTAACAGCAGAATTCATGGTGAAAAACTACATTACCCCTGATACAGCAAATTCCACCATCTGAGAAACAAGAGTTGAAACCAGCAAAACTGAAATGTTTGTAAAATGCTTATTTTGCAATAAACTTGAAACATATTGCTTTTATACATTTAATCAACATTAGTAATAAATAAATTAATATTGCTCCATCGTTTTTAATCCGATTATGCGGTTCGCAATGCATTATGGGATTGTAGTTCTTGTACCTTTGTCTTTTTGTCAGATTTTCAAAAGCTTTTTTGCTTCAAATCAAGGTTTGTAGTATTAGAGTAGTGTTGTGATTCACCTAGAAGCTGAAATAACTCTTGAACGAAGACTATTTTACAAATCCTATGAGAAAAATGAAAGTAAAAAATACTACCGAAACCGTCGCCACTGAAAAAGGGGCGGGCACTAATGCACTCAATTTATTCATTTTACTATGGTGAATAAGCGAAGGGAAATGGCTGCTTCATGACCAATTTGAAAGTTTTGTGCATCTGCCACTAAAAAGCAAATTAGGACAATTGCATGAGAATGAGAAATGTTGATCATAAATAAGTACTGGAAAGTAATTCACCCAATGTTTGAGTGTCCTGTGCATTTTTGTTTATATAAAGCTTATTAGCTTAGCAACATGCTAATAACATGAGATTTTTTTTTTTAAAAGACACTTTTATTTGTGTGTCTTCGTACATATGTAATCAGTGTTGTAGTACTCGAGACTCGGACTCGGTCTCGAGACCATATTTTAATGGTCTTGGTCTTGTCATGGACTCGTGTGCATTTGGACTCGGAATTGACTCGTATTTGAACATTTTTTTTTTTTAGGACTCGGACTTATTCCCGAGTCCACTCGAGTTCAATTCGAAATATTTTTCATGATTATTAATGTACGTTAATAAAATATTTCTTTAAATTGATTGACACGCCCAGTGATTTTCTAGTGCACATATGCGCATGACAAATTGTAATAAAATTACTTTTAACACCACCTACTATGTGGCCTTTTTACCCTAAACTGATCATATTTTTTAAACTCTGGTCTCGGTCTCGACTCTCTATGGACTCGGTCTTGACTCGGACTCGACTCTCTCTGGTCTCGGTCTCGACTCGGACTCGAGTGAGGTGGTCTCGACTACAACACTGTATGTAATGATGTGATGTAATTTTGCTGCCTATCTTGGCCAGGTCTCCCTTGCAAAAGAGATTTTTAATCTCAATGGGTTTTTACCTGGTTAAATAAAGGATAAATAAAAATATCAAACTCTACAGGAATGCATTTTGAGTCATGGTCATGGCTGAATCCCACAATGATACATCTACAGCACTTCTTTTTTAAGAGAAAATGAAACAAATAAGAGAATTGAAATGAAGTTAACAGAGAGGTGAACATTCCCAAGTAAAAGTACTACTCTACTGATACTGGAAACACCAGGGTCAATCACATCTGCCACATGCAATCACCAGGCTGTTCTTCCAGAGGGATTCTTCAAGGATTCCAGACTTTATTTGATTGTATGTGAAATGTGAACCAAACACTGGAAGTCTGAACAGAGACTTTACCTCCGAGCTGAGCTCCTCTTCCAGTGCAGACTGATTCTGTGGAGGATGACGCTCTTTCTGTCAGAAACATTCAACTCATTTACTATCAAACATGGCGAAACCTTTGTTTTTTTTTTAAGAAAGACATGAAGAAATTTAGGTTACACTTAATTTTAAGGTGTCTGTGTTATGCATTTAAGTACAGGTAGTTAACTATACTTACAGAGTTATACTTAGGGCTAGATACAAGTAATTATGAATAATTTATAGTCATTACTACACAGTAACTACATGTAACACGAGTAACCACTGTAAAATAGTGTTACCGAAGCTCAAAGTGAACACCATGATGGACCTGTAATTAAAAGTCTCCATCTAGTGGAGGAAACTACTACACCACATCTTCAGATTGCACAGAAGGCGACTGAAAGAAAGTAATCGAAAACTAATACTAACGCAACCGACTAATAAAACTGCATCACATTGCATCATCATTTCATTTTTTGCTTAAAAGGCAAAAACAATTTGATAAAATATAATAAAGTTAAATAAATATCTTAAATGTATAATTAAATATTAACATAATAATCATAATTCTTCTGCCAAGTAAAATCATTAATTAACTGAACGTTTACGCCACGAGTGCATTTATTAGAATTCAATGAAGGGCGAGGCTCATCCAATCAGATTCCAGAGTCCAAACTACGATATTATAAATATGAATTACGTTTCCTCGTCGGAATTGCCTCCATTGCTAGCATATTTCTTACATGAAGTATTGAGAGTAAAATTTCATATGCACTGCCAGGAAAAACACCCTCGCTGCCTGGATGTAAATAGGCAAAAGATTAAGAGTCTATGACAAGATCATTATTGCAGTGATTATGACGTTTCTAGCATGTTATACGTTCGGAAACAGTTCTTCTAACCCTATGGATGGAGTGTGTAGATTGTACTTTCTTAAACATTCATCAGGCTCAAACTGTGTAAGAATGGTTGGGAGGAGCATGAAGAATCATTCCCACTCATGAATTGGCTCCTTTGAGTCTGAGACCTTAAATTCATTGATGCACATCTTGATAAAAAGTAACATCACAACATTTATTTCCATAAAGAGGTGCAATTTTTGCTCCTTTAATGAATTTGAGGACTGGATTCAGAGGTGCCAATTCATAAGTGGAAATGATTCTTCATGCTCCTCCCAAAAATTATTTTACAATTTGACCCGGATGAATCTTGTCTTCCTGGTATATGGCTGTGGTGTGTCTTCCTACGTGGTTGTTTAAGAAAGTAAAATCTACACACTCCATCAATAAGGGTTAGAAGAACTGTTGCCAAACATATAACATGCTAGAAACATAATAATCACTGCAATAATGCAATAATCTAGTAATAGACTCTTACATATTTAATTTTTTTGCCAGGCAGTGGATGTAAAAATGAAACATTTATACCCTGTCTAATTGGTTGATTTCAACCAACAAGGATTTCAAAAGACAGAAATATTTGTATATATCGAATCCCCACCTTCCCGGCTTCACTGTCGGGCCGCCCGGAGTCTCTGTCCGAGGACTTCCCGCTGGCCAGGCTGTCGAGAGAGTGACACGAGGAGGCCTCAAACAAGGCTTCATACGGACTCTCTTCCACGGGGGGCGAAGACAAACCGGATATAAGCTCACAGACCTTCTGCTCCATTTCTCCTGTGAAAACAGAAAAGGATTCAATAAGCATCATTTGTATTTGGACAGGGAGACAAAAAAGTATCACTGAGAGAGTCAGAATATTAGGATATGCCACTGGCTGGACTCCAATATGGCATTCATTTTTATTCATTCTATTCATTGATGTTCACCCCCCAGATAATACAATTGACCGAATTCAAGGAAATGTACCAAACTAAATTTAAAACAAGACTATATTGTAATAAAAAATAAATACATAATAAAAAAGTCAATTAAACACAATATGCTTAAATATGATAAAGTAAAACATTTCTAAAAGTAGTATTGGTGCGTTCATGTCTTATAGTAATCGCTAGACGACGACCTAGACGTCCTAGACAGAACTGTTAAAACCTTGAAATCTAAATTATGCATTTCTATGGTAAAACAATTAACAATTAATTTAGTCCCTGTTTCCACCTGGTGCTTTAATCCGTCTCTTTTGTCTTCTGTCCTGATTTCTTCGAGGGGAGGGTCTATGGGCGGGGAAGTGTATGGGCTTTTTCACATTTTTCAATCTAATGGGCCAAATAAGCTTGTGCAGTTCACATATGAACGCGACCGGAGACGACGGAAAAAACACGGAGAACAGCAGCTTTAGTTTCTGCTCTGACAGACTCGACCCCAGCCGAACGCTGTGAAGGCCCGTACACACTGGGACGAATATTAGAGCGCGTTATTCGTCAGCGTTTTTTGTGTTCACACCCAAGCGTTTTTCGCTGATGAGCCGAGTGAACATGCAAATTCACTCCCTGACATTAGATGACGCTTAATGTTAAACAGAAATAATAATAGAATACTATACTAGGGTGATCATATTCATGTCTCAATGTTTTATTATGACAGATTAAAAAAAAAAACAATGAAATAATGATAGAAATAATGTCTTCTGTATTAGAAAAATAAATATATAAATAATAAATAACTAAGAAGAAATGCCTCCAAATGTAACAAAAAATAGCTCACAAACTTACAAAAACGAACTAACAAAATCTATTTATATCTTTAGTTTTCATCCTCTTTATCCTGTTTTTCTTCCTCATCCACCTTGTTTGCCCATCTATATTTTGCTGTAGAACTGATCTTTCCCAGCAGTTTTTTTTTTTTTTGAAAAACAGGACATTTTCATCACTTAAAAACAGCCAGGACAGGACGTGGAAACAGGACATGTGTAACGCAAAGTTGAGATGTTGCCCAGAGATAAAAACATAGCACTAGTTGTCGGATGAACAGATGCACGAGAGACGAGAGTTGTCATATTTCCCCGCGTTTAATAAAACCACTCAAACGTTACACTCGTCCTCATACATGGGGATCGAGCGAGAAAAAAAAACACAAACAAACATCTGGTCACAATAGAAAAATAAAATAAAGAATACAAAGAGCAGAGCGTTCTCTCCTCACTTGTCAAAATCTAACTGACACTACGCACACTATGCGCAGTTCTCATCTCAACTCAGATTTCTATACAGCTCAAAGTGACCGTTTCACACATAAAAAAACAGGATTGTTGGTCACCCTATAGACGAATCCGACGAGCGTTCTGTGTAGGCTGCCATCTTGTGGTGACGCCATTACTGAGCTGTTACACCGGTATATGCACCAGTATGTAAACAAACCTCGGTGATAACGCACCCTCGATGACAGCTACAGCCAGGCAGAATGACTTGCTGGGTTGATGATGTTAGACATTGGCCTCCAGTCACAGATGAAGGTACAAACGATCTTACAGATTATTTATGAAAATAGCTTGGCAAGCTAGCTAGGCTAACGTTTGCTACCGAGGAAACTAAAAAAAGATCTGTCCATTTGGCAACAATAAATAAATAAATAAATGAAATCAAATAAACAAATTCATGTTTTTCATTTGTGTCCATTATTTATCTCATTTTCACATTGCAACAGGCAAGGGTAAGGTAACGTTACAGCTAGAAAGTATACATAATATCGACCAATTAGTGTTTTTAAACCATGGAAAGAGGTCAATATAACAGCAGGAGAACAATAATGTCACATAACGTTACATTTAGCTCAGGAAAGCCATTTAATGACCAGAGAGGAGATTTTGCTGATCACTACATCACATATTTATTATATATTTTTACTTATGTCATTAAATTATTGTTATTATACGCGAATGTCCGCGTCTTGTACTCGCCCAGGAAATCTGTGTAAACCGTACGGCACCAGACAGGGGCAGTCGACCCGGGGTATTCACAATGTTTTCTCTTCAAAACTGAAATTTTACTGCCACCATTGAAACAATTTATAACGGAAACTGTTTACCCACTCGACATTATACAAGGGGTAATGTTGTAACGTTAGTGACAGTCGTAAATCGCGGGCTGTTTATTCCAGTGGACGCAAGTTGCAACTAAAACAATAAGAGGCAATGGCGCAACGCTACCCAGCAACAGCTCAGTAATGGCGCCCGCTTAGTTCCGGTAGTTTCGCCGGATTCGTCTATACTATTATTACAGAAATACTAATATAAATATTATCATATAGCTCTTTATGCTCCGAGACCAGCAGCTCAACATTCATCTTGCCCATATCTTATCTCTTCGTCGCCATATGTGTGCTCGGCAAGACCGTTTTGTGTTTGAGCGCCCTCAAGTTGTGTTTTACTGTAACTTCAGAAGTACCAGACACGTGAGCAAAACCCGCCAATCTCGTTGGTCGGATAGGTTTTGACGTGGCGTGTCAAACCAAAAAAACGAACCCGAGGCGTTTTTTTTTTTAAATTATGCTTTTATGCGTGGCGTTTTTCGCGTCGGTGTGAACACTCACATTGGCGCCCATTGTTTAGTTACGAGGTGTTAAACGTCAACGAATATCGCAGTGTTGTAGTACTCGGACTCGTCTCGGACTCGGTCTCGAGACCATATTTTAATGGTCTTGGTCTTGTCATGGACTCGTGTCCATTTGGACTCGGTATTGACTCGTACTCGAACATTTTTTTTTTTTTTAGGACTCGGAATTATTCCCGAGTCCACTCGAGTTCAATTAAAAATATTTTTCATGATTATTAATGTACGTTAATAAAATATTTCTTTAAATTGATTGACATGCCCAGTGATTGGTGATTTTCTAGTGCGCAACTGCGCATGACAAATTGTAATAAAATTACTTTTAACACCACCTACTATGTGGCCTTTTTACCCTAAACTGATCATATTTTTTAAACTCTAAGTAAATTCAGTAAAAAAAAAAAAGGATTTCTCTAAGTAAATAAAAGTAAATTAGGTAATCAACCCTCACTGGTCTCGGTCTCGACTCGGACTCGACCGTCTCTGGTCTCGGACTCGACTCTCTATGGACTCGGTCTTGACTCGGACTCGACTCTCTCTGGTCTCGGTGTCGACTCGGACTCGAGTGAGGTGGTCTCGACTACAACACTGGAATATCGTCCCGGTTTGAACAGGCCTTTAGTGTGTGTTAGAAATCAGGAATGGTGAGAGAACATTGTGCTTGGTACATTTTTCATCTTCAAACTAAACTTGGCTCTTCAGTCGACAGTTTGAATCCCGTCTGGCTAGAGCTCTACTCATAATGTTACTCATTCATTTCATTTATTCGTTTATTTGACCTGGACATTGCAATTAAACATAGTACAAAACAAGTCTGTAACTGATGCGACGCCAAAAAAGTATATAGCTATTGCTAATTTAGGTCAGTATGTGGAGAGTAGACGGTCTTTGAACACATTCGACCACACGAGCGTTTACACTACGAAAGCAATCCGGTCTAATGTGTTTTCAACTCCCTCTGGAAGTGGTGGAAAGTGGACAATCTCAAAGTGTTTTAGACCCATTTACACCTTAGCGTCGCCCACTTCATCCGATCGACCGAAACGCATCTTAATACCAGGTGTCAGCAAGGTCTAAATAACATTTCACACAAAAAACCTAGAGCACATGACAGCTGAAGCTTTTCTCTGACCTTTTCTCTTGGGGCTCAGGCTCTCTTGAGGTGGAGGCACTGGTGGAGGAGGGAGGCTCGTGTCTGACGGTCGCCCGCTCATATGAGCTACAGAGACACAAGACAAGCGTGAAACTGAGGACCAGAGCAGGAACCGGCTCAGTGGTGTGTGTGTGTGAGATCTGCTCCAAACATACCTTGTATGAGGGAGGCGATCTGTCGGCTCTTTTGAGAGGGCATGTCTCTAACAGTGTCCAGCGCTGTTAGATTCTTACAGTCCACGATATTCACATCAATACCTGAAGAACATTCAGACAGAGCGTCCTGGGGACATTTCCGGGAGTCAAAGGACTGGAAATTTCTGAATTTGCCTTTGTTTTTACCTGCGTTGAGTAGTTTTTGTACGACTTCGGTCTTTCCGTATAGAGCTGCTTCGTGAAGGGCGCTGCCTTTCTCTGTCTGTGAACGAACACAATGACTCTTGAATAACACGATAGCAAAGTTATGAAGGTTAAACGGTCGTGTACGCTGCGTTTCAGGTCAGTTGACGGCAATAACCGAGTCCGATGTGGCACATCAGAACCCAGTGGAGAGCAGGCAGGCTCATTTTCACACTGCACTGGCTTTCTCAGTATGCTATCAGACAGAGCAGACTGTGTGAATGTGGGCCGCTGCTCTGAGTGAGAGGCAGATGGCAGGCTGTTACTGTTAAGTGTGTGAGCAGGTTTCTCAGGTAGGGACAGTGTTCTGGCAAGGTGTTAAAGAGCTGTTAGCACAGATCACGCTGAGAAACTGAGTGAGGTAAAGCCACCTGTCATGCCCAGCCAACACACACCTGGACTCTATCAAGTCAACATGAAACAAAATGTTTATGAAATTACCTCTATGATTTGACATACAAAAAAAAAAAAAATGTACATGATGCTGTGAAATCGCTGACGTTTATGATGTCACAAACTAAATTAAAACCAATCTGATTAACATGAGTGAGTGGAGGCGGGGCTCATTTGCATATTCATAGTTCCGCGTTTACTAAATGAGGCAAGGGTGTAGTTGCATTCAAGCTATTTTAAGGCATGAAGAATGTTTTTTTTCCAAGAAACAACTCTTAAATATAATCATTTTGGAGATCAGATGGGTTTTAAAGGGTTAGTTCACCCAAAAATAAAAATTAAGTCATTAATTACTCACCCCCATGCTGTACCAACCCCGGTAAGACCTTCGTTCGTCTTTGGAACACAAATGAAGTTATTTTTGATTCAATTTGAGGGGTGGATCACCGCTACATAGGCTGCTTAAGGGATTGAAACTTGACGGCCCAGAAAGTCATCAAAGAAAATGTTTAAATATTCCATCTATCTATCTATCTATCTATCTATCTATCTATCTATCTATAACTTACAGGAACGTCTGTCTGTCTGTCTGTGTGTGTGTCTGTCTGTTAGTCACATATCTCTTGAACCCTTAGTCCGAGGGATCTCAAACTTGACAAGTGTCTTGCTTGGCACGAGTAAGTGCAGTGCCGAGTTTGACGTTGTTTTGATTAGAAATGCAAAAGATATCGCTAAAAGAAGCACACATTGGCTTTTGCCGCTCTAGCCGCTGGCCACTCCCTGTCTCACGCTGCACACTGAGTGAGCACAGCGCAGGACCAGAGACAGAGGGACCAAGAAAGCAAATTTGCTCCCTGAATCGTCGTGCTTAATCATTTGAGCAATCAAACACATCAAACCAAAAAGCACGGATTTGCACTAGTGTGACAACAGTGGCTCAAGTATAAGTTTATCAAGCGACGAGAATACTTTTTGTGCGAAAAACACAAAAATAACGACTTCATTCGACTATTTCTTTTCTTCCTTCGTGGCCTGAGAAGAGAGTTCAAGAGATTTCCACGACGCATGCGCGAGAATTGCGATCTCCTTCAACTACTTCACTTCAGTTCTCGCGCATGCGTCGTGGAAATCTCTTGAACTCTCGTCTCGGGCCTACGAGGAAGAAAAGGAATAGTCAAATAAAGTCGTTATTTTTGTTTGTTTTTTCGCACAAAAAGTATTCTCGTCGCTTGATAAACTTATAGTTGAGCCACTGAAGTCACATGGGATATTTAAACATTTTCTTCAATGACTTTCTGGGCCATCAAGTTTCAATCAAGTTTCAATCTTAGGCAGCCAATGTAGCAGTGATCCACCTTTAAATTTAATCAAAAATATCTTCATTTATGTTCAGAAGATGAACGAAGGTCTTACGCGGTTGGTACAGCATGGGGGTGAGTAATTAATGACTCAATTTTCATTTATGGGAGAACTAACCCTTTAGGGGATACAATATTTACTACAGGGGGACTTTAAATACGAATGCACAACAGGAAATTTAAAGAGTTAGTGCATTCAATGGCGCCACCAGGGGGTGGCCAGGGGTGGCCATGGCCACCCCTGGCCGACTCCTGGCCACCCCATTGGCCACCCCAATGGCCAGTATTAATTTTTGTAGCATCAGTTATGCATTTTATAAATAAGTCAAAAATATTCTTAAGTAAAAGAAGACGGGGAATTATGTGTCGTGACGTGCTTTTTAAGTGCCAAATGGTATACAGCAGCTTTTAGGTGTGTTTTTGCCACGTTTGGACAGGATGCAAACAGCGCGCTTTTCGACGCCTCCCGCTTTTTTCACGTCAGTTTGGGTGACAAAGTCATCTGAAGTCATTCCATATAGCTTAATGTGAGGGACAGAAGTATATTTACATCATTAAAATATAAACTCGTTTTCCCTCCTCTGCGACTGTCATCATTCTCCATTCATATTCAAACAGCACGCGCGCCTCTTGGATGCACGGTAAAACTCTCTCCAATATGATATATTGACATTATAAATGCATGATCTGTAGATAAAAGTCTGTATATTCGCATAAAATTACTTTATTTTCTTGGAGTTTGTTGCTGTTTTTAAGCGACTCACTACCGTGTTCTGTTAGATCACACGTATATCCTATATATCACAAGGATTATGAATCGGCATCAAACGCACAATAACTGTGAAACAAAGGAACAAATCGCACTTGGATTTGTGCGCTCAACATTTTTTCGATTTGTGACATGAGCTTTTAAATGCGATGTTTTTCATGTAATCATGCAAGAACGGGCTCAATCATGGGTTTGCGCACTGAAATATTATTAAAAGCCAATATATTTTGTTATACCTAGCCTGCTCAATACATTTTAAATAAGCATAATTTAATTGTATATAATTTATTTGTAGTTTAGGCTATGCACTTCTGAATTCTTGACATTAATATATAAATATAAAATTGTGACATGATTGCCTGATTGAATTTTAAAAGAGAACTAATAGTAATTTGTTTTTATTAACATATTTAGATTTTATAAAATTACTGTGCAGATTTTTTCAAGAATTACTTTTTGCTGCTGATGTATACACTCATTAAGTGTATTAAAAATTCATAATACATTTAAACTAATAATACATGCAAACTAATAACTTAAAAATGATTAAATTCATCACAATTATGTAAGTATCTGGAAATTTGCTGTGGGGCAAGGACCCTTATATATCATATAATATATATCATTATATACAATGTAATATATATTAGTTGGGCCCTACTAATATCATTAGTAACATTAAATATTACACAATAAACCAAAGTATATCAGTAGGAGTTTCCTTAAGTCTTTCTGATAGTTTTCTACAGGCTGGTTTATTACAACAGTAGAAAACAATTCTGAAATTATGGTTTATACTGTAGTTTTGGTGTGCCACCCCAAGATTTTAACTGGCCCCATCTGGCCACCCCTACGAAAAATTTCTGGAGGCGCCACTGAGTGCATTCGTATTTAAAGTCCCCCTGTAGTAAATCATTGTATCCCTTAAAGGATTAGTTCACCCAAAAATACAAATTCTGTCATCATTTGCTCACTTTTGAACTTCCTTAATGACCAATGAGGTTTGTTCTCACACGTTAAGCAAATACGGTTGAGCTTCCAAATACCATATTTTACGTTCGCTGATCAATGCTTAGGCGTGATGGATTTAATGTAGGCTTTTATTCACGCCTAATTCAATTAAAGGGATAGTTCACTTTGAAATTAATTTTTGATATGTTTTAGCTTACCTCAAGGGCATCCAAGATGTAGATGTCTTTGTTTCCACAGTATTTTTTAATTTTGACATTTTTCGGTCAAACCGTTGTTGTCTGTCAGTCATATAATGCAGGTATGGGGGTCCACGTCAAAGAGCATGCACAGAGAAGTCCAAATTAAACATGATTTAATGACTCGTAAATGTAAGTACACATTGATGGCCTAAGACACGAAACGAGCGGTTTGTGTGAGAAAACCAACAGTATTTATATAGTTTTTACCTCTTGTTAACAGCCGTCGAACTGATCTGAATCACATGTCCAACTGAACCGTCTCCAACCGTACGCCGGAAGTGATCTCTCGCGCGTCTACGTCATGCATTGTTTACACGGATATTTTGGAAGTTTTACCTTTCACTAAACATATTTAGATATATCGAAATCATCTTGCATTGCGATTTCCCGTATATCTAAATATGTTTAGTGAAAGGTAAAACTTACAAAATCTCTGTGTAAACAATGCGTGACGTAGACGCGTGAGAGATCACTTCTGGCTTAAGGTTGGAGACGGTTCAGTTCAGTTGGACATTTGATTCAGATCAGTTCGACGGCTGTTAACAAGAGGTAAAAACTATATAAATACTGTTCGTTTTCTCACACAAACCGCTCGTTTCGTGTCTTAGGTCATCAGTGTGTACTTACATTTATAAGTCATTAAATCATGTTTAATTTGGACTTCTCTGTGCATGCTCTTTGACGTGGACCCCCATACCTGCATTATATGACTGACAGACAACAACGGTTTGACCGAAAAATGTCAAAATTGAAAATACTGTGGAAACAAAGACACCCACATCTTGGATGCCCTTGAGGTAAGCTAAAACATATCAAAAATTAATTTCAAAGTGAAATATCCATTTAATCGATCACATCTTGAGAATACTTGGTCTAAACTGAATTTTTGGTTAAGAGACTGTCAACGAAGAGACAGAAATCTCTCAGATTCCATTAAAAACATCTTCATTTGTGTTTCAAATATGAAGGTCTTACAAATTTGGGAAGTCACTGATGCAAGATTTTTCAGTTTTTTTGTTTTAATGTTTCATCAAGGCACTCCTGTGTGATATTTGGCCCGGGCGTCCTCACCTGGTAGTTGATGTCGACGCCGGCGGCCAGCAGCACCTCCACCACGGGCAGGTGTCCGTTGCGCGAGGCCAGGTGGAGAGGCGTGTGTTTCTTGGTGTTGGAGCTGAGCAGGTTGGGATGAGCGCTGAGCAGAAGCTTGACCACCTCCAGCCTGCCGTAGAGCGCAGCCAGGTCCAGCGGCGTCTCAAACTTGTTGTTGCGCATGGTTGGGTCGGTCAACTCCTCCAGCAGCAGCTGCACCACCCGCGTGTGCCCGTACTGAGCGGCGCAGTGCAGAGGCGTCTCGTTGTCGTTGTTCTGCGGAGAAGAGGACGGAGAGATTTTGATGGGCTGATCACTTCAGTGCTAGGGCCTTGAAAGGGTGAGAAATAAACCATTTTTCAAGCGGAAAATTTCAACGATGAAATCCAGGAAGTTGTAGCATTCGCTGAAGACCCAAAGTGGTAAAGCTATGTGAGCATAGCTTCGCATTGGCAATAAAGCCAGCTTTTAGGAGAACGACACGAAAAACAAGATCAGAGCAGGATTGTGGAAGATTCGTAACTTTTTAGACCAAACATCGGACTGAATTTACGAAGAATACACAACACACGACAGTCTTACACCGGCATTAAGCCAATGAGAGAGCAGAGGAGGACATGCAAGCTTGACCGCATGCAGACAACTCGTCTCACACACACTCAAAGTCCCACTACCAGGGTTTAAATACTCATTTTCAGCAGTAAATGTATTACAAACTTATTTTTGTGTAATTTCATGGCTTGTAAAGTGTTTGTGTTATCTTTAAATCAATGACACTTGATTTGATATGTTGTATCTAGTGTATTGATAATATTCACACATTAAGTGTGGCTTAAGTGGGACTATACCTGCACTACTTTTGATCATTGCTCAATTGGTCAGTATCTCAGACACTGGCTGACTATCACTCTTGGTATTTGTAGTATTATACTTAAATTAGACACAATTAAACATATAGTTTGAAATGTACAGCATGTTTGTAACAAATCATTCAACTTCACAATGACTGATGTACTGAAACCTGACCACCAGATGGCGCTGTTATATTTGCTTTGTTTGCTAACTGAAAGTGAAATCTTGAATGTAATAATAACCATGGAATTAAACACAAAACACCCTACAGCTCAAAAACCGCTAGTGAGAATCTGAGTGACTTCATCATCAGACTCGGCTTCCTCCAGAGCTGTGCAGAGATCAGTGGGACTGTGTGTGTATGTGTGTCTCTGGGGCTTGTGAAAGTCTCCGGGCGGCTGGCAGCAGCGGACACAAGACACACACACTCCACCACTCTGAGTGACTGTGTGTGTGTGTGTGTGACCACGAGCAGAGCCGGAGTCAATGAACATGTGCTGGTTTAGGGACCACACCCCACAACTACATCATCAAAGTGGGTAAAGCAATCTGCGCACACCCACATTAATATTTATAATAATAAATACTATTTATTATTATTGTTATTATATTATTATTGCTTTTGTTGTATTTAAGTTACCGGTATTAATAAAATATTTTTTTTTAACGTTTTTTTTTTTTTTGTCTATTGTTATTAATTGTTGCTACTGGAAACTTGAATTGTTATTAATTGTTGCTACTGGAAACTTGAATTTCCTTAACGGATTTATCTATCTATTGCTTTGGCAATATTGTGCTATTACACACAGTCATGCTAATAAAGCTCATTTGAATTGAATCAAATTTAATTGAGAGAGGGGTAGACAAAGAGAGAGAGAGAGAGAGAGAGAGAGAGAGAGAAGAGAGAGAGAGAGAGAGGAGAGAGAGAGAGAGAGAGAGAGAGCGCCATCCAATGGGACACAGACGGGAGAACAAAACTACACCTGTCGTTTCCCTCCACGGACTGAAAACAAACACAGCAAGCCCTTTATTCTTCAAACTGAAAAAAGGAAAACCGCAACACACACACACACACATACACACACAAACCAGAATCAGATCCCTTAAAATCAGCTCTCACATCTTTAGAGTGACAGTGAGCGCAGAAACAGATCCCAGATGTCCATGAGGAAACAGCTGGACTGAACTCCTTCATGGGCTTCATCACTCTCTCTCTCTCTCTCTCTCTCTCTCTCTCTCTCTCTCTCTCTCTCTCTCTCTCTCTCTCTCTCTCTCTCTCTCTCTCTCTCTCTCTCTCTCTCTCTCTCTCTCGTTTCCTCTGAGCTCTTCTCAAGTGAACGACTCTCTCTCTCTGGTGAGGAACCGGACACCACCGAGGCTCACAGGCTTTCCACAAACACAAGAGATTCATTTTCATGTTAATTCCGGTCCACCGCTGAACAACTGACTGTCAGGAGAAGTGAGCTTTCGCTCTGTTTTTAAAATAGAAAGTGCCGATTTCTCCATGACATTTCAAAAAAACCGTACGCGTTCACAAGAAACACTCGCACTCGACCTGTACGACGGAGCATTTCAGCGCTCAAGCCCACAGCTAACTCTAATAAACACATTCAGTGTCATTAGTAGTACATCATCATCATCACTAGTTACAACTGAAACAATTCAAATAGAGTTCGTTTTTTTAAAATACAGCTTTAAAATAAAATATTAATATTACATAAAAAACCCAAACTTGCAAAAGTTTATAAAATAAAATGATAAATCGTGCCTTGGCAACTAAATGAAATAAAGCAAGTTTACTTATTAAAATAGGTTTAATTATTCAAATAAAAAAAAAAATTGAAATGACAAAAGCACATAAACGTCTAGAGCAAACTAGCGGGTGTAACAATCCATCGATACGGATCCAAACATTGATCAAATGACTACAATCGATGCAACAAGAAACAAATCTAACGGTACATTCGTTCATCTTCAGAACACGAGAGAAGATCTTTCTGATAAAATCTGAGAGTTTTCTGTCCCTCCATTGACAGTCTACGCAGCTACCACTTTCAAGCCCCAGAAAGGTAGTAAAGACATCATGAAAGTAATCATGTGACTCCAGTGGGTTAACCTCAATCATGCAAGTGCTTTGTTTGCACACAAAAAAACATAATTTACTACTTTATTTACAACCAAGAGTGTAACATTACACGTATTCGTAGTGAACCGTTTGATACGAGGCATTTGGTCTGCCGACCAAAATTTCCTTATTTCAAATGTAGGCGCTTCGCGTGGCAACTGGCAACCGCACACACAATGTAAGAGATGCTGGCGTGACCACAACATTGCCCAACATCAATGGCAAATGTAATGCAAGCAGAAACAAATCTGAGAAACATTCACATTTCTCCGTTATTAACGGATCAAACAGCGCTGACGTGGAAACCAGCAAGAAACATTGTGCCATGAATGAACTATCCAATGTCCACAGATCAGCAACAATCACCATGGGTTTACTTTTTACCATGGGAATTTTGTGAACCGTTACACCGTTTTTAACATATTAATTTTCAACAGCTGTGTTCTGAAGATGAATGTGGTCTTGCGGGTAAACGCTGATGTTTATAAGTCTTTAACAGTCTGCGATGGCCTTTCCTGAGCTCTGGACTGAACATGATAAAACGAGCTTATCTTTCTGTTCACGCTCCCTCTCTCTCTCTCTCTCTGGGTTTATTAAGCCCGAAGACTTCTGTCATCCCTCATCTGATCACATGACTTCATATGTGAACGCATGTGCCCTTCCTGAGGGAGCGAGCCAAACGAGCACATTGACAGAAGTTTCACATGTGCGTGCCCTGACTGTGCGGAGTCCCGTGTTCGGATGCAAACGCAGGCTGACGTGTTCGGCCTATGGTGGGATTATTCCAGAAGGGTTATGATATGCATGTCAGGTCAGCGCACATGCGCGCGTGGATGAGGATAATCACAGCTGAAAGCTGACCGGTCACGTGATGTCATGCAGATTACATCATCAGCACATAACCTGTGAGGAGCGGGGAGTGGGGAGTGATTACATCATCAGTGTGTGCCCTGTGGGAACGGGAACAGATGCTGCCGCCACCAGAGCACTGACACACACTGGTTTGGCTCCACAGGAAAAAAAAAAACAATTATTACATTAATTTACATTAAATGTTAACTAATTTTATATTTTTTTCATATATATATATATATATATATATATGTGTGTGTGTGTGTGTGTGTGTGTGTGTGTGTGTGTGTGTATGTATATATATATATATATATATATATATATATACACACATATATATATATATATATACACACATATATATATATACACACATATACATATATATATATACACATATATTATGGGGGCCAAACAGGAAATAATGAAATGTAATCCCGAATATATAGTTAAAACTCCGAATATATAAATGTAATCCTGAATATATAGTTATAACTCTGAATATATAAATGTAACTCTGAATATATAAATGTAAATCTGAATATATAAATGTAAATCCTGAATATATAGTTATAACTCTGAATATATAAATGTAATCCTGAATATATAGTTATAACTTTGAATATATAAATGTAAGTCTGAATATATAAATGTAAATCCTGAATATATAGTTATAACTCTGAATATATAAATGTAAGTCTGAATATATAAATGTAAATCCTGAATATATGGTTATAACTCTGAATATATAAATGTAAATCCTGAATATATAGTTATAACTCTGAATATATAAATGTAAATCCTGAATATATAAATGTAAATCCTGAATATATAGTTATAACTCTGAATATATAAATGTAATCCTGAATATATAGTTATAACTCTGAATATATAAATGTAAATCTGAATATATAAATGTAAATCCCGAATATATAGTTATAACTCTGAATATATAAATGTAAATCTGAATATATAAATGTAAATCCTGAATATATAGTTATAACTCTGAATATATAAATGTAAATCCTGAATATATAAATGTAAATCCTGAATATATAGTTATAACTCTGAATATATAAATGTAAATCCTGAATATATAGTCAAAACTCTGAATATATAAATGTAAGTCCCGAATATATAGTTGGAATTCTGAATATATAAATGTAAATCTGAATATATAGTTATAACTCAGCATGTGAGCTCCTCTCAATATTCCACTCTATGCCAATGCGCTCCACTCAGTAGCTCACGGCCCAAGCGCTCAAATCCAGCTCCGACATGAAATCTCAGTGTAACGTAGGCTACTGTACTATTAGCCTTTGTTGATTATTTTTAAGGTATTGTTGGGGGCTTTTAACTAAAAAAAAACGTTTCTCTAACCCTGTACAATGAACGCACCAGCACGTTCTGATAGATTTTTCTTTAATGACAACGGAAGAAACTCTAA